CAGAGTATAATGCGGGCATTAAAGCAGGGGGTGGGGATGCAATTGCGACAAATGTGTGGCGAATGCGGAACTGGCTGTGTAGGTGGACAAGAGGAGCGAAAACTTTGGCCGTGACAGAATAAAAAAAAGAAATACTGAAGAAATTTGCATAAATTGACAGCAAAGATTGGCTGGCTGGCCAGCTACTTGGCCCTCGTAATGGCCACTCGGAAGAGCTGTAAACAGCTCGTAAAAGTAATTATAGTGTGACAGGCGAGAGCGCTGACAAAACGCTCTAGTCTTAACGTAACGGCAGTGGGGCGTGGCAGGGGCGGAGGCGGAGGCGATGACTGAGGCGGGGGTGTTGCTGCTCAAATGCTGTCACAAATGTGCGGGTGTCGGCGGCTCAGTCAGTCTTTCAGCCGGTCTAATGAGTAGGTAAGTATGTGCGTGGCCTTTGCCAGCAACTAATTATAGCCAACTTAAACGCAGCTAATTTTCACACTTGGAAAATGATTAAAACCCCATTTGGAAATGTGTGTGAGTGTATATATGTAAGTGTGGCAGAGCCAGCACCTTGGCTAATTAATATTAATTGAATTTCTTACCCAAGCGTGTGTCTCACTTCTGGCCGAGTGTGTGTGTGTGTGAATGTGTGTGATTCCTTGCAGCTGTTGTGTTGTTGTGGAATTAGCCGTGCCTGCCAAAAAGTGCATGCACTTCACACCAAACGGGGCACTTCTATTGGCCGCTGTTGCTCCAACTGGGTGATCGGGTCACGAAAGCAGCCGCAACTACAAATGCGGAAGCAGCGCAGATGAAGCGTGCCCGGCACGAAAACCCCAAGCAATTATAGTTCAATTATATTGGTAGATATTGGTAAGGCACGCAACGACTGCGACTTCAGTCAGACAGTTAGGGCTTCGTCTAACCCTTGGTCAGAAGCGGGTCAGCACCACTCTATACGGTTGACCAGCTGACCACCTGACAGCTGGCAAATTGCGAGCATTAACCCATGTCAGTTGTCAGTGGCAAAGGGCTAAGGTGCTGGGATACGAGAAAATAATGGGAACCAACGCATGTTGCCAACTGGGCCCGAGAAGCTGGCCTAAGAGTCTCTAATTTATATAATCAATGAGAGATCACAATAATTAATATTAATACTATACTGATCCTTCTTACCTTCAAACTATTTTAAATTATAAATTAAACCATTGTAACATCCATACGCGATCTGCTCACAGAGTAATTAATTACACTTTTAATGTTGAATATTTACCATCAACCTTTATTAAAATTAGCTAACATCCATATTTATATATAGTATTTAGATGCTTGCACAAAACTAATGATAGTTATATGTTTTCAACTTTCAAACTTGGATAAGGACAGTATTCGCAGCTAAGTCAAGGAATAAAAATTTTAATTGTACAACTACTGCCCCGCTAGATATATTATATACTTTAAAATCATAAATAATATTGTCAGGCGCTGATAGCTCCAGGAACTCCTTCTCCACTCATATGAGAGTAATAGTTCTTTTAGAAATGTATTGTTTTAAAACTAATATTCCATGTTAGATGTATGTATAGTTTGGAGAACAGGTTTTTCTAAGGAACTCTTCAAATCAAACTCCTGGAATCTGGAAACAAGTAAGCGACAGATACACAGAATCTACAGAATCTGCAATATGTTGCATTCAACTTCCGGCGGGGATTCATTAATTGTTTGGTTTTTGATTGAGTTTGCTTACGATTTCTTTGAACATAAACTCTTCAGAAAATTTTAAGTCAAAAGTTCAAAAAAATTGCCTATATTTGAATAGATTTGTTTAATACCACACCCTTTCTAATTATTTCCTTAAATAAGTAAATCATTTTGGTTTTTGTTTTTATAATCTTTTATTTCATAGTTTTATTACAATTGAAAATTATATTCAATATGGTTTTTATATTTTGTTGTTCTTGTTCTTGTTGTTGTGGTTGGTTGTATTTGCTTCATTCGGCTTAAACAAGTTCATATGCTTTCTTTTGTTCGGTTGTTTGTTTTTAATTCTTTACATAGAAGCTTCAATTATTTATTTATTTTAGTTTAATGATAGTTTTGTTTTAATTTTTATCATATATTTAGGTTTTCCTTTCTTTTGTTTTGTTTTTGTTTAAAACTAGCAATTTAGTTAAATTTAATTTTTACACGCACAAACATTTAAATTTATTAATATCATATAAATATATTTATTTATCTTGCATATTTATTGCAGCTATTGCCAACTCTTTCTAGCGCACGCTCTCGCTCGCACGCTCGGTCTCTCTCTCCGGATTTGCTCTCTATCTCTCGCTCTCGCTCTCTCCCTGTGTGGCGTTCGCGTGGGAAAGTTGGTTGTTTTTAAGTATTATACGTTTTTGTGCTTTTTAGTCTATGCTCAGGGTTGCTTTTGCTCCGCCTTTTACGAACTAGCATTAAATTTAGTTTAGTTTTTAGTTTTGGGTTTTTTTTCTGTTGAATTATGCTTGCGAATTGTTGCTATATACAAAATATTTTCAATGAGAGTCTGTCAAAAATGTACAATATTTGTTATACTATATATATGTAAATATAATCATAATAATAATAATAATGTTGTTGGTTTTATGTTTTTGGGTTTCTTCTTAATAATCATATTAAATATTTACGGCGTATACGTTAAAGTTTCGACAAAAATCACATTTGAATTTAAATTCTGACACGAAAAAATGTTGAAACATAAAAAGCGTTAAATTTGATTTCATATACAATGCATTTGTTTACTCATTAATAACTTGTGTTTTTTATTGAATATTCTTTTAAATTTCATTTTCAATTTCCAATTTCCAATACAATGCTTCGCCTAAGTATGTAACGTTTATCAACACTGACACACAATGCACTCTCCTTTTATAACATGCCAAGCAAGCGGTCACCACATACTCGTATTAAATGAATTGAGTTTCTAAATTATTTGCATCTAGTTTTTATAGTTTAACATTATACAGTGGTGTGTGAGTGGTTTGTTTCTTTTTCAATTTACATGCAATTTAAATTTCATGAAACGAAGCTTACAAGTTGAGAGAAAGCGCTCATATATATTGTATATATTTCCGATTACAGCTGCTGATAAATTCGAAATAGTCGATATCGATACGGATTCGCCCAGTATTTGGCAATACAAGTAAGTACTAATGGAAGCTGAGCGGCACCTTCTTCCACAAGTGAAAAAGTTTGATTGATTTTGAAAATGAATTCGAATAATGAATCCATTTTGAACTCAATTCATTCGATTGGAAATCAGGATGCGCCTTCATGCGTTATGGTGTATCCTTATAGTGGGGACTGCCATCTTTCTCTCAACCTGCAATCCCATTTTGTATAATTTGCGATCTGCCATTAACACTGCATTGGTTCCTTTTTCTTAAGCCATAGTCTGCCATACAAATATATGTTAGATTTTTAAAATTAGTTATATTTATGGTATATATATCAGTATGTATATTGTATATGCTCGTATACAACTTTCATTCATTCAATTTCTTAATTTTTTTTTTAGGATTTTCTCATTTAAGGCGTTCTGTACAATATGCGTTTAAACGTTTCTCAAGTCAATTGTGTTGATGATTATTTAACTACTATATAGTCTAATATATTACTAGCGATGCATGTCCGCATGTATCGTATATATATAGTGAAAATTTTCAATTTTTTATAAATTTTAATACAGCTTGCGAAAAAGGTTTTGTCCCAGTGTTAAGCCATTGTAAATAAAGTTTCAGTTTTATGTGCAAAATATTCGCATAATAATAGTTTCGTTTTTTTTTTTTTTTTTGCTTTTTTGTGTTGGGGGATTCTTAGAGAAGTTCGTATACGTTTGCATGATTGTTTCATAAGTTGATGATTCCCATCTGTTCTCCGTATGTTTGTGTGTGTGTGGGTGTGAGTGTGTGTGTGTGTGGGGGGTTTGCGAAAAAATGAATATACATATCTATGCGAAGAAGCTCAAGTTTCTATGCAGAGCATGCACACTCCTCCCTTAAATTGCTAAACGACGAAGATGAAGTGGATTTTGTTTGTTAGTATGTATTTAGGTAGTATGTGTATTTAGTGAAAAGAAGGTACTCTCGCACTATCTAGTGTTGCACACACAATTCTTTGTTTTTTTTAAAATACCAAATTAAATACTTAAATTTCAATTTGTTGCTCTTTTCAATTACGTATATTCGTTACCATTTTAGTTTCAATTTTCATTAAACAATGTAAATTCAATGTAAACGCACTTTTTCTTTGCTAAGTTCAGTTCGATTTATATAGCACGACTTGGAAAAAAGCTGCTGAAGCGCCATATTTGAGATGAGACTGAAGGATCACTAATCAGTGTTGATCAACAATTGTTGAAGTGTTGTGATTTGTGGGTGTAAAAAATAAAACACCATATTTAGCAGCAAGTAGAAACAAAAACAAGAGATGAAACAAAACAAAACATGCCCCGCATTAACCAGTTGCTGAAAAAAATAACTCTGCATATGAGCTCAATAATTCGTATGTTTCAAATAAACATAAATATATGCAATTAAATAAAAACCGGCTCAATATAAAGGTTGTATAAAACGAAAGTGTTTTCTAATGTCTATATAAATTATCTGTCGGAAAAAGAAATGCCAAATTCGAAATAAGAAGACGAGAAAGTGTTATTTTTCAAATATTTTTCATATATGCATTTTTCATTTTTCATCAATAAGTTCATTCATACAATGATGCTCTTTAGCGTTATCTTTTGCTCAGTTTTTGTTTGCATTAAATCGTTAAAATTAAATCATTAATTAAGTAAAGGTAATAATAATAGTTAACTAAATGTAACGCATACAAATTAAAATACATAAATAAAAGTACAATTTAAATGTATATATAATTTAATAGTTATTGTTTGTATATGTATGTATATTTATATATTAATAGTATACTTACTATTTATATTATGAAATATATATATTCATATCCAATCGGGCCACTTTATTTACTTGGAAATAATACTACAAATACACACAAAGAAAATTCAAAACAATTTCAATTGAAAAAACGTTTACAAATTAAATTCCTTTTCATTCGCTTAACTTTTGCAACTTTTGCGTAAAATTAGAAAACAATTCAATTCATTTAAATTAGTGCACTAAACATAAGGTTTCATGTATACTCCAGTTATATTTATATATTTATATGTATATGAATATTTATAGTTGGTTATTCATCTGTTTATACACACTTGTACACATACATACATACATACAACTACATATACATATATAGATGTACATATATGTATATTGAAAACAAAGCGTTCCTACAACTGACTCGTTACGTGGCTAAAAAGAAACTAAAAACTAGCAAAGAATTTCTTGAATTAGTTTATGTTTTTTTGTAAAGATTTTACTGCTTCTCTTCTTGTTGTTGCTGTTCAGACAAGGCCCGAACATGTATTCATTTTATTCAATTGGAGGGGCGAGGCATTCACTAGAATTTCTAGAAAAATATAAATCTAAATTCAAATTCAAATTAAGCTCTACTCGAAAATAACAAACGAAATAAAATTTTTTTCTTTTAACTCAAATATTTGGCTCGCTTCAAACAAAATTTAGCTCAAATCTTTGTGTTTTTGTAGGTGTGGGTGAGTGTGTATGTGTGTGGATGCGCCTAAATGTATGCTTTAAAATGGTTCCATTTGCTTTCATTTCTGCCATGCTGCTGCAGCTGCCTTTTGTAGCTTGAAAATAAATTAGAAATTTGCATTTCACTTTGATATTTTGTAGTAGTAGTTGTCGTTATTGTTGTGTGTGTGTGTGTGTGTGTATCTGTGTTAATGTGTGTGTGTGTATCGTTTATTTAACTTATAGCTAAGCGTTTCTTTTGTTTATGCATAAATATCTTTTCTTTTGTTATTTATGTTTAAAGTATACACAAATAGTTTCTTTAAAATTGTTGCTTGCTGGTGTGCTGCTTGTTCTTCTTGTTTTTGTTGTCGAGCAGACACTTAGCCTGCTCCTGGTTTCATATTTGTTGTTGCTTATTTCCTTTTGCTTTGCTAATATCATATTCTTTTAAGATTTTACTACAGTGTTTTTTGTTTTTCATTTCTTGCTTTCGTTTATTACTGACTGATATTGCCACTTGGTTGGGTGTACTTTGAAGGGGGTTCTCTTCTCTCTCCTCTCTGCTCCTGCTTCTATATCTTCTCCTGTCCGATTTGGAGGATCGAAACAGTTGCAGCTGCCAACTGCTATGGCTAATAAGTTTGTAGTACAGTTTCATTGCTGCCTTCAATCAAGAAGCGAATGCTCACGCGTTTCCTTTATCCTGTTGCTGATCCTTCCCAGCGTGTTGTTGTTGCTGTTGTTGGTGTTGTTGTTGCTATTGCTGCCGCTTTCCTCTCTCCACAGTTTAGTAGTAAATTTAAGCTATGATTTTGGCTTTGTCGCTATCGTCAGCACTGCGCTGCGCCGCCTCGCACCCACCGCCGCCCTCTAGATTGCATTACAAATGCTGGCCGTAGTACTCAGCGGGCGGGTAGTGGGGATAGCCTTGATGGAAGCCCGGATCGCCGGGCGGACGATGCATCATATGCGCTTGACTGTCCATCATATAGCCCATGGCATCGTGACCATAACCGGAGGGACCTGGATGCGGTGTATAAACTGTTGAATCGGGCATGGGCAAATAGACAAGAAACAAAAAGAAACATAATTAGAAATTGCGCTACAAAACATCGACTCAAAGGGCTGCTCAAATGCTGAGCAGCCTTTTGAAATCATTATTTAACGGACGCCATTTCGTTACTATGCATCGATATTTACCTGCACGATTCGATTGATCGATCATCGGCTGCACAATTCTTCGCCGCGCATTGATGAACCTGCAAGTAGAAGAAGTGGGGGAATCTTGTCTTAGCAAGGGTTTGGCTCTCTGTTTTAATTAGCAATTGTCAAGATGATAGTCAGGGACAGAACACACTCGCACTCACACTTGCACGCCTAACTGGTCATGAATTATTTATCAAATATACAGAAAGAACAACAACAACAGCAACGTGCAGAGCTGGATTTGAGCTGAGCTGAGCAGAGCATTGTTTTATGTGTGCACTTAGCCATAAACTAAACCAAATCTGCGCCAGAGTCACACTTTTTGCGCGTCCCACTAAGAAGTCGAAGTCGGGCACATCAATAGCCGCGGGCTGCCTACAAAAGCCGACGCCGACGCTGACGCTGACTCCGACTTTGGTTATGATTGTCGTTAATAAATGCAATAAGAAATAATAAGCAAGCGACTGCAGTTGATCCGTTCAGTTCTGAAGGATCAGCTACAAACAAAAAAGGCACCAGAAAAGAAATGATTAAAGCAAAAAGCCGCCAAAAGCTGCCGTCGAGTGACAGTCGTGGTGGCTTGGCTCGCAGTCTGACCGATCACAGATATTGCCGTATATACTCCTATATATATATATATATATATATTCGTTGACACAAAAAACTCCACTATACATCATAGAAACAGTAAAGCTTCCCAAATGCGCGCCAAGGGCGGCAGAGTGAATTATTCCAGGCAATCGAACAACAATTAACAGTCAAGAATTGAATCAAAAGAACGATTTTTGAGGATAATGATAACAAATTTTTTATAAAGTATTTGTCGGTGCTTATTAAAAGATTTTAGGCAAGCAATGGTATAAACTTGTTAAGGAATGGGAACTGATTTCATTGTCCTTTCCTTTGCCGCCAATCAACTGCAAAGTTCTTTATAGCGCAGTTCAACTGTAAATCTTTGCGGTAGTAACATCAAGTTATTAACCAAACAAAAAAAGCAGACAGTTATGGGTAACACAGTGCCAGTTAGTTGTACAAATCGGCGAGGTTAATGCACTGCCTTCCAATTCTTTTTTTCAGTGAAATGTTACCCGAAAACTTTTTTCAATTTCAGTTCAACAGTGGTTTTTATTTTTTTTTTTTTTTTGGCTGTGTTGCTTCATTTTGGGCGGAAATTGTTGCAACGCCTCGAAATCGTTTATCAAAACGACAAAATGGAATTGAGTTCCGTTGCGTTGCTGGACGGGCAGACAGACAGGCAGACAGACAGACAGGCAGAAGGCAAGGAACATTGCTTAACTTTCAGTTAACGAGTAGGTTGTCGGAGCGGGCATGTAAGCTGCAAATCGATTTGGCCGCCGGTTACAAAAGGTTGCTTTGGGGTTTATGTTTATGGAACGCTGCGATGAAGCAGTCTTATATGCGCTTGCAGGAAAACAGGACAATAGAGTCGATAAGAGTGTGCAGCTTTAGTTCAGGAGTTTTCAATTAACTTAAGAATTGTTAATACAACTGCAACAAAATAGGTTCACACTGAACTTAGGAATTGTTAAAGCAGAATACAATAAAGCAGTGTTAGTGCTGTTTCCAAAACGGGCAACTCTAATGCTTCAATCCGTGTCCAAACTTGGACAGGCTCTTTGCAATAAATTCTGGCCCCCACTCAGGCGAGGTGGAGCGGGAGAGCCAACCAATAAGTGTGGCTATAAGATTGGATGCCACATTTGCACAGATATTTATGTACTTACGCCATAATTATAACTTTTTCTTCGGCTGTAAGTAAGCGTTAATATTTAAAACTTCTGCCACAACATGAAACTTTTTCGATTACGCACACGCCAGCCAGGACGAAACAACAAGAGTAGGCAGGACAACCTTGTCTGGGCTCTCCGTTCTTCTGCTGCTTCTCCTCTTATTGGGTGTTAATGGACTTTTTTTGTGTGGGTGTGTGTGTGTGTGTTGGTCATTTGAATTGCTTCTTAGTGCGGCAAGTGTTTTTCCCTCAAATTGCACAAAATAAATACACATTTAGGAAAAGCTGGAGTGACGGAGCAGCCAACGCCCCCACGCCGGCCATTCCCCACGGATTTGGAGTGAAGGTGTCGTCCGCCAGCCCATAAATAACCGAAAGTGTCAACATTTTATTTTGCTATTTTCCGAAGGTTTTTCTACAAATGTTGCTGCCCTGCTTTTCTTTTCTTTTCCTAACGCAACGTTGCGTGCTTAAGCGAAACGGGCAGGCGAGAGAAGAACGAAGCGCCGAGTTGGAAAAGTGGAAGCTTGGACCTTCCATTCCGTCTATTTGTTAATTTGCCGTGTGCTTCAGTGAGCGCGAAATTCAATTTAATTGAGCTGAGTGCCTGCTGTGCCGTTACACACAGAAAAAAACAAAAACGAGAGAAGAAAACAAGCAAGTTTACCGAGTCCCGCCCTCTGTAACCCCAACCCCAACCTCGAAATGTGCGTCTCTTCTCCGGCCGCTGGATGTTGCCTGTTGGCCGACTAGCTGGCTGGCTGGCTGGCTGGCTGGCTCACACATTTCTCGCTAGATTTTATTATGGCCTGTCCCTGCTTAAAAGCATTCCAGCCGACAGGCAACTGCATAAAAGATTCAGCAACGCTTTTAACTTGCTTTCAAGCTTACACCCCCCACACCCCCCCGATCAACCCATCCAAGCCAACCAACCCATCCAACCCATCCCCCACACCTAGCCACTGCCACAGTCGGAGCTTAGAAGCTTGTCTTGTCTTTTGCATTTACTGCACAAAGTGTCAAGTTTTCCAGCATGTCGCATAATGTGTAAAATTTGATGAAGTTGCTGCTGCACTGCCCCTCCCCCCGCTCGGCCCATCTCCCCCTAGCCACACTCTAGGCTGCCTAATGCGCTTTCCAACTCAACTGTCTCTGGATTGTGACTGCTCCAATGCAGCTCTATCTGCTTGTCTGGATATCTCTTCCGTCCGTCCGTCCGTTCGACCGTTCGTCCGTCCGTTTGTCTGTCCGTATGACCGTCTCTCTGTCTGTCCGTCCATTGCCGTTGCTCATGTGTTGTGCATGTTACCGGGGCCATAATTTTGTTGGCTACATTTTTGTGCTTGGCATTTTTCTCCAGCTTTTGTTTTTTTTTTCCCCCATTTTTGTATGCATTTCTGCCTAAGAGATTGGCAGGTTGGTTTGGATTTTTGAATTTGCGGCGTAGGCGCTACAAACCTTATAAATTTGTCCTAGGTAATGTGATAGCTTTTGTGTTTGTCTTAGCACGTCTTCGTTGCGTTGTCTGTTGGTTAAGGGATTTGACAGCTGTGAGTCGTGTGTTCGGTTCTGTTTTTATGCAAGTGTCACCAAAAGTCACACAACCAGTGAGTTTGCTCCGGTTATGCTAATTGTGCGCTTAGGAAGAGGTTCAGCTTAAGACTGAAGTGTGAATCAAGTGTCTGCTTTGAGCCTATTCTTTCCCTCTTTACTTAAAGTAATCAAAAATAAGAATTACTTGAATTGAAAGGGCAGAGACCAGCTGTAACTTCTTCAAAGTCGATGGTTTATTATTTGTGGGGTCGGCCCATCATTTACGTTTCTCCCCACTCTTGTAAGTTGTTTCAGCCATCTACAGCCGTTGTCTTAATTTAAAGTCAAACTCTTATCTAAGCTGTTTCTGATCGATTTACAATTCGTATTACAAACATACTTCTACAGTGCCTTTAAAATTAAGCTGCATAACTACTTGTATGTACTTACATATATTTGTCTAAATAAAATAAAAAGTAATCCCTGAACCTTTGCCACAACATTCATCATTCAGTGTTAAAACTCAAATTTTATATCAGATACTTGTATATAAAATGCGGGCTGTAATATAAAACTTTCTTTCTGTACACAAAAATATTATTACTTGTTTCAAAATGTTGTGTGAAATTGTAAAAGTTCGCCTCGAGATTATTTGCCTGACAGGAGTTTGTGAAAAAAGCAAAATAGTTTGCAAGTTTTGTTAGAGGATTCTTTTTGTTTGAAATATGTGTGTCAGTTTTGGGTTTTAAAATCAGTTGTTCAGTCTATTGAGCTAAGTTGCTGAAGTAACTTGTAACTTCTCGAGTCTGTCTTAAGCAGTCAGTCAAGTCTGTCTCAAAGGGTTTTTCAAAGGCAGACAAATTTCCATTTGACAAGTCTAGTTCTATGATTAATTTTCTCTCGCATTTCTCTAACAATAAAAAGTGTGTTCTGCTTGACAGCCTTCGCTCGTAATTATAGTGTAATGCTTACCAATTGTTAACTTGCAGTATCGTTAGGCCAGTATCCTGCGCCAATTGTTTCTTCTGGTCCTCGGATGGGTAGGGATGCTGTAAGAAACAAGAAGAGGGCAGAACAAAACAATTAAACATTTTCGTATGTACTCGTAATTGAAGTCAATATTTCGTGACATGCACAATTGTTGATAAGTAGTGTGTGTGTGTGTGTGTGTGTGTAGGTTTAATAAAATTTATAATCTATCTAAAGCCAAGCGACACACAATCGATCGATCAATCATTAGGCAGCCAAGTTTGTTGGGAACCTGTCACTGGAGGCGCTGCACTTGAAATGCGTGAGAGTGGAAGCAAGAATTAAACAATTTCGTTCTTGCTGTTGTTGTTGTTGTTGGATGTTTATCAGGGAAGCGCATTCTATGCGCCCGCTTATCAGCACTGCCACTCACAGTGTCCTCAATATTTGGGCAACTGCAGATACATTGAAGCGCCAAAGGGGCAAACAAAGCGACGCGAGGCGAGTCGAGTCGAGTTGGATCGAGTTGGCTGGCGGGCTACTCATAAATCTTGCAGCCGGCTAGCCGCCAGAGTGGCGTCAATGTGTAAACAATGGCTGAAAGTCGTGGCTGTGTGTGTGTGTGTGTGAATTGGTGTGTAATTGTGTGTGGGAGCAGGAGCTGCAGCTAATCTAATCACTTGGACAGCAACGTACGCACTGGCGCTTATTACAATTTTCTATTTGTTTAGTTGTTGTAGCGCTGGCTACTGTTGCAGTTATTGTTGATGTACAAATATTGACTCGACGACTTCCAATACCATGCCCTCGCTATGCTCTCCATCAACAGCCGTTGTCAAATTAGCTGGAAAGGCGGCAAGAAACGCGCTGAAGTCGCGCTGGAATCGCCTTTGCCGTTAAAGTCGCGCCCGCTGTCAAACATTTCTTTTGTGGCTTTCGTTTGATTTTCATTTAGCATTTGGCATTTGTTTTATGTTTTTGTGCTTCTCTCTTTTTGGCTTTTTAAATTGTGCGGAAATTGCTGTCAATTTTTTTTTATTCTTTTGTTGAGGGCTTTGCGCATGCGCCGCGCACTTCTCTGTTAATTTTATTTTTGTATTTTTCTTCTCAACCCTTGCCGCTTAACAAGCTGTCTGGGCACACGACGGAATCGTCGCTTATTTCCGGCAGCTGTGGGCGTTTCAATTTTGGCACTCCGGAGCAGTTAAGGCGGTTGCTTGCCTTCTGCAATTTATTGTGATTTGTTGTCTGTCTGGCCGTCCATCTGTCCTGTTTGTCGGTCTGTGTGTTGTCTTTGGAATTTTGTGGTTGTGGCCTCGCAATTGAACTTTGAACGACATTGTCAGCGTTATTATATTGTTGTTGTTGTTGTTGTCTGTAAATGCAATTTGCTATTGGCAGCTTCCTGTGCTCAGCTCCTCAATGCTTCGCTCTGCATTGTCATTTGTTGCGTGAAATATGCAGATGCCCCCAAGGCGCCCGACAGTTGTCCTTGTTGCTTTTAATATATAGACTGTAGAACATGCTATTCACTATTTACTATATATGTACATACTACATGCAGATATTTGTGTATATGAATATACAAGACAGTATTCAATATCTAACTGTGCAAGGAACAACTACAACAACTGCAATAACAGGCGAGTCCAGTCCAAGCAATTCCAATCGAAATGTGCAACGCTGCACATCCTTGTCCTGTCCGTCTCTATCTGTTTGTGTTTGTCTGCCCTCTCTATCGCTCCTTGTCCGTCTGTCTGCGCGCGTGTGTGTATATATGTGTGTGTGTATGTGTATATGTATGTGTGTGTGTGTGTAATGCAATTTAGTTGCCTTGTTGTCCTTGCAGTCCACACCCATTTCTGCTGCTGCTTCCTCTAATATCTCTGGGCTGTCGTTGCCTCCTTAAATGCATTTGCCTTATTGTTTGTGTTTAATAAATTTTGCTTGTTGTCTTGTTTGTTGTGTTGTAGCTATGCTGTTTGTGTGTGTGTGTGCGTGTGTATGTGTGTGGCAATATTTGTTGTCTGTTGCTGTCCCCACTGCCACACCCCTGACGCGCCCACCCACGCCCACTACAACAAATAACGAAAACTATATGAAATTTGCGTATTGACAAATAAACGAAGCCATGTAAATACAATGGACATGCCAATGGCAATGGCTGCTGCTTCGAGTTGTTGTTTCAGCTGTTGTTGTTGTTGTTGCTGCGGCTGCACCTCGCTTATGGTTGGAAAATGTTCAAGAAGTCAAAAGGCATAAATTACAGGCAGGTAAATTAAAATGGAATTTATAGCATACTTTGTGGCGCACATCTATTTAGGATGCTTCGAATAGCCAACTTAACTCGTGTGCCGACGTGTGTGTGGGTGTGTGTGTGTGTGGCATTATTGATTTGCTAATGTGGGCAAGCTTGCAAAGATTTGCAGCAACTTGTGGCCGAATGTGCTGTTAATAACAATTATAAATTTTATGTCTTCCCAGCAAGTTGATAAATAAAATTGAGCTCGGTAATATAATCGGCATAACTAACTGTGCAGTAGATAAAACCAAATTTATACAAAACTGATAATGTGACACTAATGTCGGTCTGGTTTCATTTATATCTCAGAGAGCAATAAACAACAAGTTATGGAAACGGATAATTTTCGGTTTAGCTGCAGCTGACTTGATAATGTAAACGAAAGATAATGCTGGACCGAGTTGTGTGCACAAGTACAATATGCAAGAATAGATAATGCATTGCAAGTAATGCTTCAGTCAGACTCTTAATTGACAATTATTAGAAATGTTTCTTTTAGATTTAACGCCAAGTTCATTTATCTTGAAAAATGAAACAACCGTTTTAGGCAATTTTGCAAAAACCTATCGAACAATTTACTTTGTTTAGCATTTTATCCAATACATAAATATAGTGTGAGAAATTGCCGGATTATGTTTACAAAAATTACTGCATTTTGTAGTTTTTGGTGTAGTTTGTGCCTTGAATTACAAATGAATTACAGAATGTGATAATTGAGTTTTCGTAAAATGTCAAACGTTTATTAATTTGACAATTGAAAAGTAATTTGTTTTCTTCGCATTAATAACGAATAGCCACATTACATTTCCATCATTTTATTTGGCATTAATAAAGTAATGCATTTTCATTTTGAATGAAATGCTTGCTTGGCTTATCGAGTTGTGAATACATTTTTCAACTCTTTGCAGACATTTCTACGCCTACGCCGCATTGCAACTGTCAAGATACAAATACATACTTGCTGCTGCTGCTGCTTTTCTCGGCTGCACCAATTACGCTAATGAAAACAATTATGCATTTTGCATATCAGACACACACTAGAGAAGTTTTGTGTGTGGAAGTGCGCGCACACATGTCAAGTAAAACAAAGTCCATTTGGTTTATTAATTTACCATACGACAAAATAATTAATTACTGTCACGCCTTTAAGTTGCCTTTCCATGTGACGTTGCCGTCGTCATCGTCGTCGTCGTCGTCGTTTCTGTCTTTGTCCCTGTCTGTCCCCGTGCCTCCGCCTCTCCCTGTTGCCTTTGTCTATGGTGGCAGCACTATTTGCTACTCGCTCCACTTTTTGCCACATATTTTCACTGTTGTTGTGTTTATTTAAACTTGGCAAATGAATTTAAAACAATCAGCACACAAGCGCTGCCCACACGCTCCGCCCAGTCCCCCAATGCTGACAAGTGCCAACCAACCAGCCAAGCGAACAGAGCGGCGAGAAGCGACCATTCAAGCGACCCTAGGCCTATGTAGCTGCCTTGATTGCGGGGCCCTACCCTGCTCCAGTCCTTCCACCGAGCCGCTCAGCACATGTCAACATCACTGCAATGCTGCCGTGACACATGGCCCAACAAGCCCAAGACTGGCCCAGGCCGCAGATCCAGTAATGCACACGTACTCGTACAACGACAACGACAACGCCACCGATGCCGTCGCCACCGCCATTAACAGCGCCAAATGCGACGCCATTTGTGAGGCAGCAACAACAACAAAAATGAAAAACAAAAAAAAAACCAGCAGACTCTGGAGGTGGCAACAACACAGCACAGTGTCCTAAGGAAACCACTCTTTGATAAAAGTATGCGATAAGTTAAACCAGAGCATAATCTTTAAACAAAATAGAAATAACACAAAATTAGAAATGTGGAGAAAAGAGGGAAAAACATGAAGTAGATCTCAATTTTTGAATAAATTAAATTGCAGGCCAATGAAGAAAATTTAGATATTATAACTAAACGAACTAGTTAAGACTTTCAAAAATAATAATAATAAGGTACTTCCGAGATCAATAAAACTCTTTCATATACAACTATAGAATATTAATTGAGGGAGGAAGATACATTTCAACTTTAAATTTACAGAAATTATTTATTTATTTAGGCTGCGGATTTTCTCTTCTTTTCTAACCAAACAATTTGCTGTTGATTTCAATTGATGATATCATAAGTAGTACCATAAGTAGTTTCAATTTCCTTTAAAACTATTTTTAATTCAACGGTCTATTCATTCAAAATTATTTCTTAAACAGCAGAACAACTCCCAGTAAGTTTAGAGCCTTTGCAATTTTCAGCGCCACAACGCAATGCTGGCCCACTGTGCGGCAATAGCGACGATGTCGCGCTATGTGAAAATTGCATTGCGCCCGACGACTGACGACGGCCTCTGGCAGCCATTATGAAGATTTTTTCCAGTTGCACTATATGTCTAAACAAAGCCAAATGAGTGTATCACACACAAGCACACACACTTAAGTACACACACATACATGACTTGCAGCCACATTTGTACTAATCGCGACGTTGTCGTCGTCTCCATACTTAGTCGTCATGTTTGCGAAAACAACAAAAATCTAAAAAAAAAAAGATGAAAATAATTTGCTGCCGCGTTATAGCGCGCTGTGTGGCACGAATAGGCTTACAGTTTTTAATATGCCCTACGGTGTGGCAAGTGCTACGAACTGTGGCAAGTTGGGGCCAACAAACTGATGAAGGTGTGTGCCACACAGAAATTGCAGAACATGCTGCCGCTTCAGATCATACTTATAGGACTTATAAGATG